ATAGCTAGAGCCTAGTAGAGAGAGCCGCTGGACAGCACAGCACAGCACAGGTTGTTGAACCTTGAACGTAGACAGCCAAACTATTTTCAATTCCACGACTGGTGACTCATATATATACCATCAGAAATGCATTAAAGTAGGTAATTAATGGGAATAAACAGGATTATTTTGAGCTTAGGGAATTGGGTTAACCCAATTTTGAGTTTCAGTTGTATTTTGACCATGCATGGTTATATTTAAGATTATAGATCCAGCTATCTGGTGTTAAGAGGCAGCTGTCATTACCATTAATATATTGGTGCTGATGGATATCGATTCTCTTAGCTAGGAATATAAATTGTGCAAATTATGAATCCATGACCTGATCAGGATCAGTAAGCTAGAAAATGGTAGACCCATTTAGAATATATAAAGTCATACATCAATTACCCAAATTTTTCAACTTAGGATTGTTAAGAGGCTATACATCTGATGAACTCATCACTAAAATTCTCCTTAAGCAATATTAATTAATTCTTCAGGAGCAGATAAGATATATCAAAGTAGTGTAAAACAAATCAATAGAAGGAAGCATAAAAGTGGGAACATCATGAAATATGTAAAGCTTATTACTAAAATTAGCATTGAATGATGTGATGCAATATCCCATGCATATATACTTTATTACAGAACAGTAATGTATTTATTTCATCACCCCAAATATATATATTGAATCCAAAATGCAATTTCTTTTCCTTTCTCTAGCTAGTGTTTTGTTGTTTTTACTTTAATGAAGGGTGCCTCATTGCCCCTAGTTTACCAAGAAAATATTAAAATATTCTAAGCTTGATATATTACACCAAGAAAACCACAAGTTTCCAGCACATCAGCATCTAGAATCATGGCATAGGGGTACTGCCATAAACAAATAGTAAGGTGTTCCAGGGATAGTTTATGTTGGGGTGAAGTAGGGATGGAGATAACACAGTAATAGATTTCAATAATCACTGCACAAGTTCATTTGTTAGCTAATTAAGGCTTTGTGTGTAACCAGAGTGTGAACAACTTTAGTTGGGTTTTCTTCTACTGATAAAGCATTGTAAAATTATCTTATTTTGCCTTGCCTTTTCTAGGAGGGCTATTGGGCCAAAACTTGCCGTGCAAAAAGGTCATACAGAAATGCAATGAACCACTTGTACATGGAGCTAACGCCTGAGCTATATCACATGTGAAAATTGTGAAGAAACAGGATTTGGAATCATTGGGCCGAATGGGCCTTTGTGTTTTTATTTCTTTTAAGTTTATGTTATGGGCTTTTTTGTTCTTTAGACTCAGTTTGGAAGGAGGACAAATGCAAATATGTACATACAAAATATACATGTTTTCATTTATATCCTTCCAAACTCGGCCTTAGTGCTGGCCGCCTCATTATGGGTATCTTGTACAGGGGCGCTGTTTTAGGACATGCTTGGAGGATGGGTGCGCTTTAGAAGAAGCACATGATGAAGGGGTTTCTCTTTCTAAACAGAGTATCTCCAGAGAATTCCCCCCCTTATCTCTGCACCTTTGGTCTAAATTTAACCGGCATAAACTTTACGCCTCGGTTCAATTTTATATACGTTTGATAAACATGTAGTTTTACGCTGAAAATCGATATAAAACTARCTCCACTTTCATTTCTCTTTACAATGATAATCGATGTAAGTTATACATGTGTAAAAATCATCAAGGTAACTCTCTCTGTCTCTACCCTATTGGCTGTCTTGCATGTCTCTCTCCGTTCTCGCCGGTGCTGCTGCTTCTCTGCCGAATATCCGATAATCGCGCTGCACGATATTGTTGGTATAACAGAAATGAAAAGTGATTTACTGGTTGTGKGGCATCATTGGGTGGTCTTGTTCGTAGTAGCAATCTCCGCTGCATGCAACTATGCAACCCACCCGCCCAATTGAAAGCAATTTATTATTGGGTGGCCCACCGCATGCAACACTCAGCTACTACAACATATCCAACAAACCACCAAAATCACTATTTACTAGGCTACGCACACAATCTACAATAGCAAAAGTGCGGGGGATCCAACAGCATAGGCTGTTGAGACAGTTTTTGGACTAGGTACGTTCTGAGGAATTCACCTATTCACACCCATGCTTTAGTTTTTTAGTAAAATTAAATTAATACATAATTAAATTAATTTATCTATTCTCATGATAACTGACATTCCTATAAATTCTCTCAACGGCAAAGACTGTTGGCCCCCAACAATTAAAGTTTTTCCCCAAAAGGGCCATCTAATGGGTAAGTTATGGATGATCTCCTTTCTTTCCCCTCTCACGATTCCCCAATTGGTACTTTGCATGACAAACCATATCCTGTTTCATGCAAGACTATTGTTATACGGTGCAAGGGAACAAATGGTGAAATGGAAGGGAGAGTGAGAAGATCTGGAGCTCTGTTATACAGTGGAGAAAATAGCCAGAGGATAGGGTAAGACGGGAGATGCAGGAAGAAATAGAAGAGAAGTAAATAAAAAAAAAAAAAGAGGGGAAAATGTGGTTAAGAGAGAGTTGAACGACTGCCACTGCTACTTTGGTGGTGTTCTACTCGGCATTAATAGAGTATTTGGGGTGTCATCCGGTTAAAAAGAGTGGGAGGGGGGAGGGGAGAGAGAGAGAAAGACTTATAAGGGACATCTTCATTTTGAAAATTTAAAAATGAATAATAGGTAAAATAGTCTTTTTAATGAGATACTTTAAGACATTTGCCCTTGCTAATGTCTTTAAGACATTATTAAAATAGTCTTTTTAATAATAGGTAAAATAGTCTTTTTAATAATAGGTATAGTTACTCAAATACCTAAGCCTTAGGAGTAGTTTAAGAAATTTGCCCTTGCTAAAATCTCTTTTTTTTTATTTTATTTTCAAAATTTTCTCCAATATCTGATGGGTTCGACGAATTCCCTAGGGAACAACCATCAAATTTGAACTTGACTAGATCGGGCTGCTGGTGGTTGCCATAGTGGTTGAGGGATTTCAAGTCTCATATTGCCATCTTAAAACCACCACAAAGAAAAGGTTGCACACCTAGAACTACAATGCACACCACAAAATTAACAAAAAAAAAAAAAACAAGTTAAGGCAATAGCCTTCTTTATGAAGTAGTTTACAAGTAAAAATACAGATAGGGAGCTCACCATTTTTGTAGACAGCTCCCAATGCCTTACCATGTCAACCATCCTACAAGAAAGGAAACCACACAATCCTAAGATGATGATTCATGAAAAGAAACATAGAGATTGATCTCATGGTTTTTAAAACCGATCTCGAGACCGAACCGGTCAGGGGTCCGGTTACTGGGTCAAACGGTTGGCCGTTTTGACAAAAAAATTCAAAAATTTGAAAAACGAAACGGTCAAAATCATTCAAACAGTTCGAACGATTAACTGGCCGGTTCAACGGTTTTAGGGAAAAAAAACGATTTTGGAAAAAGTTTTTCTGGTCCAACCGTCCGGTCTGATCCAGTTTTGAAAACCATGATTGATCTTAATAATCTAATAAGGCATTCCAGTCGAGTGAATCTTTAGCATCTGATATCCAATTCCCCAATTGGGAAGAAACTGCTGAGCAACCTATTCTTCTTTCTGTGTTTCAATTTCTTTCCTACACTTACTTGTTGCTGCAGTTGACGAAGGAATACAAGTACTGAAGCTTCTAATAAGAGTGAACGAATGCTTGAAGAGAGCAAGTGCTTTCTCCATCTACTCTGTCAATTGTCATTTAAAGGAGTTAAAGACGTTCCCTTTTTTCTAGTTAAATTAATCATGTCATGATCACTAAACACAGACGCATCATGCATATATGGTTGCAAGCATAAACATACACAGAATAATGTATGCATAACTATGTATGACCTGTGACACAAGTTTTGATGGAGCGTTTCTCCCCCGCGCTCTCTGCTTGCTGTCTTGATTTTCCCTTTATACATGAAGGTTTAAAATATTGATACGATCAAACGTATCGTATTGGTATCTCAAGGAATAGATACAAGATATGTTACGAGTGGCACGATATATGTCTAGTCATGCATATCGTATTGACCGATATGGGCCAATACATGGCGTTATACACCGATACACATGCATCTCCAATTAAAAAGGGTGAGTAGTGTGATTTTTACTCAAGTCCCAACGCCTAAGACAATTTTTTGTAACTTTTTGAGCCATTAGGTCACCTTTTAACTTATGATATTTAGTGAAATAAAATAAATGCTTATTAATTTTATTATTAACATGCAATCTAATCAAATACCATATGTTTGTGTTCAATAATTTTAAGTTAAAATTAAAAGAATAATATTAAAAATGAGTATTTTCTAAACTAACAAAATAAATAATATATCAAAATTATATTTATATAAAAAATTGATTTTTAATCTCAAAAAATTTATACAAGTACAAATATTAGCAAAAGAATAATTACTTTAGTATTTAAAATTCATAAATTTGTAAATGATATGTATCTTAAAATTTTAATATATTTTTATAAATTATTTATTGATAATTTAATTTACACTAAAAAAACATATTTATTATTTACAAAATATTCAAGAATATAATATTAAATTGAATCTATCAAATATACTAATTTATATTTATATCACTAATGATTTCTTATTTCAGAAAATTTATAAAAATAAAAGTATTAATAATTGTTCCATTATTTTAGTAATTAAAAATTATAAATTTACATATAATATATATGTYAGTATATAAATGGACCCACCGTTTATGTTCTAGGTAATGGATCAATCAGTCCAATTTTCTGACTTCAAACATTGAGTTTGTTCTATGATATATCCTGATGTGCAATTAGACTAGGGTTTGGATATGATTGGGCTGGGCTCAGATTACCTGAAAAGTCGGGTTGGGCCAAGTCTGAAAAATAAAACTGTCCGAAGTTTTGGGCTGAGGCTCAGCCGCTCAGCCTGAAGACCGAAAATCCAAGCGGTTCGGAGTCGGGTTGGCACCCCGCCCGTGGAGGAACGAAAGGAGAGTGTAGCCTGTAGACTGTAGACAAGTTAACCGGCGGCTCTCCAACAAATCTCTCTCACTCAAGCCTCAAGGGCCTGAAGCATTTGAGAATTGAGACCAAGATCAAAGAGGAAAGGCACGGGTGGAGTTGAAGGTTATTTCAGTTTCAGGTATTGTTTCGTTTTCGACAGAGAGCTCATTTTCAGAATACTTATGAACCCCTTTCAAATGTATGTTTTGTTTAATTCAGACCTTGTTGTCGGGCAACTCTGGAAGCATGGAAGCTGCGGTGGGATCTTTTTAACCGTTAATTTTACTCATATACGAGCTCTTTCAAACCATTTCCGGTTCTTAGTTGTGAAATATTCTTTTCTTCCTTGGAATCTTCAACTATAGAATTCTTTTCCGAGCGCCTTGAAGTGAAGTTGTTTGTTGAAAACTCATAGTAGGTTTTCCTTGCATATCGTTGAAAATTCATATATTATCGACGTAATTAATTTATGGGATAATACGTTGAGCAGGTTGCATTGTATCAATTATTTTTCTAAATGTTGTTTATTCTGTAATGTAAACTTCGATGCAAAATTGTTGGAAGTTTAAGGGTTATCAGGAAAATACTGAAATTTACCAAAAGAAAAACTATATCATTAATCAAGTCTAGTTTAAATAGTTTTGCATTTATTACAAACTAAATAAACTATATGACATCACTTCCAGGGTCAACTCAACTACTCTCAAGTGAACTCTACTCCCAAGCTTTTGTTTAGATGCGTCAAGAAACTTGAATTGGAAAGGTATGCTGCAATTCTAGAATTTTCCTATAGCAAACATAACTTTCTTCAAGCTGTTTAGAATCAATGCCCCTCTAAACATTAGGCCTGTATGTCTCGTGGTCACGGACTCCCCATGCTGTATATCTCGTGGTCTCGTGGTCTCGTTTAGAGATTTGAAGGCAACACATGTAATTTTTTTTTTTTTTTTTTTTTTTTTGCTTAGTTGTTCTGTGGTGTATTGAAGGTGTGTTCTAGCAAAGCTAACTTACCCATTTTCATTATGCCCCTCTCCCCCGGGCAAGGAAACAGAGAGGCTTTTATCAGGTCTATCTATTGAAGTGGAAGTGGTTGGTGCACACTGCAGAGTGTTTCTTTAGCTCATTGTAATCATTTATCTTTAAACAGAAAAATAGAATAGGAATTAAATAATTTCTCTGAGGTACCCTGTTTATGTCTTCCTGCATGTAGAATCTTTACTGGCCATCCTTTAATCCCTATAACTGATATATATATTCAGGATATTGTTTCTTAACCAAAAATGTGAACTCAACATATCTCCCATCATAGGTATGCAGTTCGTTATTCACTTAAGTACAATGCATAGGGGTCCTTACTTGGTGTAATGGCAAGATCTTGGGCTGGCACGCATGAGAACATGCATTCAAGTTTGAGAGTGGCTACAGTGTGAGAAAATGCCAAAGGTTAGGACCATATCCAGTCTACCCATCCCAAGACCCTAGATAGCTGGGACCAACACTGGGTAATGGATTTTTTTCAGAGGAAGCCCTATTTACTTTGAAAAATGCCTATGTTTGTGCTCTGTATTGCTCCATTTAAATACATGTTGTGATGTAGAATTGGTAATTCCAACAGTGGTTCCAAGGATATTCTTACTATGGAGAGAAGTCTCAAGTGTTTTTCATCACTAGGTGGGCAATATTGCTCCTTTTTTTGTGTTTTTTAGCTTCATGGGGCAATGTGGGGTAGCCCATCCCCCATCCCCTTAACCACCCAATCATGGTGGCAGCAGGATTTGATCCCAGTTCACTGCTAACGAGTCACAATTCTACCAACTGAACCACCATCAGTTGGTGCCAATATTGCTCTTTTATTTATAGTTTAAATTAAGAAAATATGGGAAGATAAAGGAGTTTAGACACTTGGTCGAGAAACAAACCTTCACAACTTTCTTTCTGTTTTCTATTTCACCTCTCAACCAATAATCAGGATTGTGTTGTCTGATATCCTCATTTCCTGTTGATATTAGATGCTTTACTATGGAGAGTAATCCAACTGCTGATGACCTAGCCAAGGTGGGCATAGGTCTATGCCTACATAATTTTTGCTGTTGAGAGGTGGGGCTTCAAAATATATATTGTATACCCTTGTAAATTATCTCATGTAGACCTTTATGCTCAATGAATCATAAAGAAGAATTTACAAAAGAAAAGAGGACCTCTGAGTCTTGAGAATCTGTGCCTGGAGTCATTGCTCTCTTCTGAAGGGGCTAGAAAGATATCCCCTCTGGTGGATTCTCAAAGAGTGGAGTTGAAAGAGTCTGATTGTTCAGAAAAAACAATGCAGACCGATTCTCTGTTGAAGTGACATCGGGAGATAAGGAAATAAAGAAAAGAGGAGTGGGCTTGAAGACTCTAGTTGACAAAGAGGTGGAAATCGGCAAGTTTTTGGGCTTGTTCTTTTAGGAGGAGAGGACTTTACTAGAAGAGCTTTTGAAGCATTTGAGAGAAAGAGGAAGCTTGAAAGCATGAAAAAGGCTCCTGAAGTGTTAGGGGGAGAAATTTGGGATGAGGAAGGAGGTCCATATGAGTTTGATGAGGTGGAAGATTGATCTGTGCATAGTATCTGCTTGGCTGGAGTAGTGTTTGCTGCGCTAGTGTAATCTCATGTTTTCTCTCCCTGTTTCTTCATTGATGTAGGCGGTTAGCTGAAGTAGTTGTTGGGTTTGGGGGATGTTATCTTAACACCTGCCTTTAGTTTGTATTCATCTTTTTCCCTTTTTAATAAAATTTTCTTGTTGTTTATCAAAAAAAAAAAAAAAAGAATCATAAGTTACTTCTCAAAAATTTAATAGGCAGACAAACTGACTCTATTTTTTTGTCAGATAACTACTATTAAAATATCCTTATTTTCAATGTTGTGTTTCCCATTTAATATATTATATTGGTTCTATGAAAATCTTAAATATCGCTCTTGCCCCTTGGATGCATGAAATATTCATTAGGATGATGATGAAGTCCAGAGGAAAAATTGTGGTGAAGAATAGAGGAAAGGAGGAGGTGCAAAGGCTGGTCAGTGTGATGAAGAATGGTTATATCATGTATGAAGTGACTGAGAAATTAAGTGTTGGAAGGCTATTTCAGGAGTAGAACAGATACACTGTTAGCTTTTTGGAGAGCAGGTTAAATGACAGAAAATATATGAAGAGAGAAATCAAGAAGTTGATATTAGTTTCATATAAAATGGGCACAGGTATTTTGTTGCTTTTGACAATCACTTTGTTTTAACTCAAGTTTTGAATTATGTTTCACTTTTTTATGTGTTTTATCATGAACAAAARGCTTACAAAACTGAAATTTCAAGGTTAAATGTACTCACGCTATTTCCCGTCAAACCAAATGCAACCATCATGTTTTATGCATTAAACATTTGGGTTTCATTGTTTTGTGCTTAAGATGTTTAGGGTTAGTTGTCCTTCAGTTTTGACTCTATTCACCTTAAGCAAGTCATATCCCAATCCCAACTATTTGGGTTCAGCTACGTGAATCTTCACATTTCCACTCTATCAAGAGTCATATTTTCTTTTAAATAGTGAATTCTTAGCTCCATTACTACCTCAACCTTTGTTCCTCCTGGTATCCTCTAGCTGTTTTTGGGCCCTCAATTTACATTAGATTGCTCTTTCTTGTTGATACAATTGGTGATCTTCTACACATATTTGAGATCATGTTAGTGGCCTTTTTCCACCTTAGTGGAAGGACAAAGGGGAATGTCAATTCTTGTACCATTAATAATCAATGAAATTCTCTGACTCTATTGCCAAATTAGAAGAAAAAATCTTAGTGGGCTTTCCCTTTCACCTATTGGGACTGCACCTAGGTCCCTTTTTTAATAATTATCAGAATTTCATTAATGGAAAAAACAAGTTATCCCCACAGAAGTAGCAGATCAAAGATACAAGGTCATCTTGGCTTTACMCAAAACATCAGAAATTTACATTAGAAATTTTAGCAGATTATAAAAACATTACAGAGAAATTCCCGGCCCTGCGCGTAGGTTCCCATGGATCTTTCATTTCTAAATTCTAATTCTATCAACTCTAGTTTTCCACTTGTCTTTCTTAACATCCTAATCTTTGTTGTACTCATTTTATGTATAAGTTGTTTCTTGATTGCCAACCCATGCAAATCTCCTTTGGCAACTTATTAATATGGAAGCTTTTGTATGTCTGCATCTTTTGGCAACTGGATCATATTTATTTACAAAAAACATGTAAAAGATGTAGCCCCCTCTCCTGTGGAGAAAAATAAAAGAAAAAAAAAATGCATGAGGTTTGGTTGGATCCAAGGTACTTCCTGAACTAAACCTTAAAACAACTTGGGCCAGCAAGGTCTTGGTGGATTGCTTGGTTTGACTGTTATCTTGTCCATGTTTCTTGCTTTATTTTCTTTGGCCTGTACATATCAGTTCATGTGGGAAAAAGAAACTATCATAAAATTATCATTGTATGCATATTCCTATAGAGTTTATATGATGTACCCTTCTGTATGTCCCAGTTAAATTATTAAGTGGGCATATTTTTTTCATAAGAATACAGCAGACGGTTAATGTACTCACTGGAGCTTTTGAATTGTAGGCTCTACATAAGAGTCTAATTGGTAGGAACCTTGGAGTGGTGGATTCAACCTCATGTGCTCACTTGTTAGGGTCCTTTGAAATTTGAATTATAAATCAAACCAAAAATTACTTAACAGAAATTCAAGTGGTCTTCCAGCATTCCCTAACAAGATGCAGTAATTCTTTGTGGTCTCATTTTGTCAATCCAGAAAATAAATTAATTTTGAACGTATTTCTAATACTCTGAAGCAAGAAATAAGACAAAAATTAAACGGCTTCTTAGTATTTTTTGACAGTAAAATACTTTTTTAAGTGTAGGTTTTTTTGGTAAATAGACAGGTTACATGAAAGTGGTTTATGTCAATACATAAATACATTGTATTGCATGCATTACTCTGTGTATGTTTATGCTTGCAATCATGCATGATGCGTCTGTGTTTAGTGATCATGACATGATTAAATTAACTAGAAAAAGGGGAAATTTGAAAGGGAAGGTCTCAAACTCCTTTAAATGACAATTGCCAGAGTAGATGGAGAAAACACGTGCTCTCTTCAAGCGTCCGTTCACTGTTATTAGAAGCTTCAGTACTTCTGTTCCTTCATCAACTGCAGCAACAAGTGTAGCAAAGAAATTCAAATGCAGAATGAAGAAGAACCTATTTGAAGTTGCTCAGTTTCTTCCCAATTGGGGAATTGGATATCAGATGGCAAAGAATCACTGGACTGGGGTGTCTTACCAGATTACTAAGATCAATCTCTACAAGGTTCCTTTTTCAGAGCCTTTTCAGTTATGTTTCTTTTCATGAATCATTATCATAGGATTGTGTGGTTTCCTTTCTTGTAGGATGGTCGACATGGTAAGGCATGGGGAGTTGTCTACAAAAATGGTGAGCCCCCTATCTGTATTTTTACTTGTAAACTACTTCATAAAGAAGGCAATTGAGCCTTTGTTTTTTTTTTTTTAATTTTGTGATGTGTATTGTAGTTCTAGATGTGCAATCTTTTTCTTTGTGGTGAAATTAGTTAACTTTATTCAAAAAAAAATCTTTTTCTTTGTGGTGGTTTTAAGATGGCATTATGAGACTTGAAATCCCTCAACCATTATGGCAACCATCTGCAGCCAATCTAGTCAAGTTAAAATTTGATGGTTGTTCCCTAGGGAATTCGGACCCATCAGATGTTGGGGGAATTTTCAGAAATGAAAAAGGGAGATTTTGGCAATTTATTCAGGTCCAATAGGAAAAGGGTGACTCTTTGAAAGTTGAAATGGTGATTAATGCAGGTGGCATCAGAATCAGTGGTGATTAATGCAGCAGTAGGATTCTTAAAGGGCTGTCTGTCTGTCCATAGTGCATTTAGAAAGGATACTTTTCCCTTTTGAGGGTGGACTTTTTTGGGGGTCCCTGACTGGATGTCATGTCCAGTCTCTCATTGCGTAGAGGACCATGCCTTTGATACCAATGCATTTTACTATACCTTTCTTGAAAAAAATAGCTGAAATTCGAGGCAATTCTACAAGGGCTGAAAATGGCCAAAGCACTTGGAAAGCTTATTGGTGGAAGGAGACTGAAGGATGGTAGTGGGTCAGGTAAAGAACAACGTGGAAGGATTGGGCAACTAGTTAATGGGAGGGTGGTAGGATTTTAGTGGGTTCATAGATCAGCGAATGGGTTGGCATACAGTCTAGCCAAGCAAGGGGTTAATGGGGTACAAATGTATTGGGTTCAGTTGTAACCTGACTTTCTGATTTTTATAAAACAGAGTATGTTTGGTAAGGGATGTGGATAGAATACCCTCAAGGGATACTGATTGCATTGTACATATCTTATTTTTTCACTTTATATTAATAAATTCTTACTGTTATCCATAAAAAAGCAAAAAGGTGGCATTATGAGACTCATAATCAAGTTGTTCCACATTCAGATAAATAACTTTATACATAGATATTTTCATTGATAGAATGGAATGGTGGAACATCATTAATGTAATCAATCCTGAATAGTTGGGATGGTAAGTTATTTTGTGCATATGCTATACTGGGAACATGTTCTCATGGTTGATGTAGTGGGTGAGCTTTAGGTTCCACTAAGAATCTGAGGTTTGAACTTTGGTTACAAGATATGAAGAAAGTATATAAGGTTTATAAAAGCTCAAGTTTCTTTTAGAATAAGTAATCAGGAGGGGTTTCTCAGAGATTATTAAATCTTTGTCTGTGATTAGCCCTTTTGTGCTTACTTTGATGCTTATTCTTGTTCTGGGTTGTTAAATGACTGTAAGATTTGATTTTGATCAGGCACTAAAAGGTCAAGGACTAACTAGTGACTAATTATTAATGTCTGGTAAGAACCAGGAATAATGTGTTGAGTTTATACATTGATAATGTGATGGTGGAGGATCATGTCTCTTTATGAAACAAGGAATCCTAAAATGGTCTCCACATATTCTCCAAAGTTTACTCAGAAGTTATATCAATCTTAGAATGTCAGTTCTTTTTGTTGGCTTAGCACATGGTAGGTTCCAAGGCCTCCTGATGRGCATATGCAACAACTTCCACTTGGTTGGACAACCCGATAGACTCAACAAAAGTGGGCTGGACCTAGTCTATTCAAAGATGTCAAGTGAGGCCATTGACTGGGTTCCATAGCATAATCTTTGTTATTACAATTAAACTTTATGTATCAAAATCAACAATAGCTAAATAAATTCATAAGAGACATGAAGCTTTATGATTTTTTAAACATTAAGGCTATGTTTGGTTTAAAGGAAAAAGTAGGGAAACCTTTACAAACCTTGTATGGGTTTCCCTACCTTTCCTTCAAACCAAACACAGCCTAAGTTAATCTACTTTCTTCCAGACTGCCATCCTTAATAATCATTATTTTCTTCCAAACTTTGTCCAAACCGTCTAGGGATGATTACAAAAATCATGTTGACTGTGCTTACATTTTATGATACATATAGATGATGGCAGACAATTTACAAATTACAATGAATAAATTTTGCATTACCATGTGAAGGGGCCATTGCTTAGTGCAATTGTAAAATCTTAGGCTCACAAGAATGAGAATGCTGGTTTGACTCTCAGAGCAGTGAAGCTCAAGTAGGGAATCTAGTTAGATGACCCACATAATTCTGGCAGGTAGGAAATTCTGTAGCTGTCGGCTGATCTGCATGTCAAACTATCTTGAGAGGCCACGTGTTTTTTCACCTTTCAATATCCATGTTTTGGAGTTTTTGCCAAGTGATAAAAGTAAATCTCAAAGGTTTTGGTATTTTAACTTAAAATCCATAAAGAAGGATTTGTTTTGGTCATGTGGTTTGTAAACTGGAGTATGTCCCATGAATATGGGGTGGCAAGAGGAACATCTGGACTCCTTTTTGGGGTGCCCAACCGTTTTTCCAGTTGAACTACCCAACTGGAAGATGTGTTCTCATGCATTATTTGGTTGTTTATTTGTCTAGAGGTTTATAATGTTGTAGTTGAGAAATACACATGCAGTAATTCAGAAAAATATAGGAAAAGAAAGAAAGAAAGAAAGAAAGAAAGAAAGAGAAAGAAGAAGAAAGAGGTTTCAGCAGTAAGCTGTAGAAGAAGGGAAGGGAAGAGAGAAAAGAAGAGTACGAACATCTCTCTCTCTCTCTCTCTCTCTASCCCCCTTGATCTCTTTTATTTACTTAATTCTAAAATCAAGTACAATTACCTGGGTGCCCTTAATGAGGCGGCCAGCACCAAGGCTGAGTTTGGAAGGAGTACAAATGAAAATATGTAGAGTGCAAAACCTTTCCTGGAGGCGGCCAGCACCAATGCAAATATGTATTTACGCTGTACATATTTGCATTTGTACTCTTTCCAAACTGAGCCTAAAGAAATAATTAAAGAGCAAAAAAGCCCATTACAAAGGCCCATAACCAACAAACATAAACTTAAACACTACTTAAAAGAAATAAAAACAGTAAGGCCCATTCAGCCCAACGATTCCATATCCTGTTTATTCACAATTTTCACATGTGATAGTTCAGGTGTTAGTTCCATGTACAAGTGGTTCATTGCATTTCTGTATGACTTTTTTGCACGGCAAGTTTTGGCCCAATAGCCCTCCTAGAAAAGGCAAGGCAAAATAAGATAATTTTACAATGCTTTATCAGTAGAAGAAAACCCAACTAAAGTTGTTCACACTCTGGTTGCACACAAAGCCTTAATTAGCTAACAAATGAACTTGTGCAGTGATTATTGAAATCTATTACTGTGTTATCTCCACCCCTACTTCACCCCAACATAAAATATCCCTGGAACACCTTACTATTTGTTTATGGCAGTACCCCTATGCCATGATTCTAGATGCTGATGTGCTGGAAACTTGTGGACATGACATCCATGTCACAGGAAATCACAATCAAGAAACTGAGCTGAAAATGCTTTATGGTTTTCTTGGTGTAATATATCAAGCTTAGAATATTTTAATACTTTCTTGGTAAACTAGAGGCAATGAGGCACCCTTCATTAAACTAAAACAAGACGCTAGAGAAAGGGAAAGAAATTGCATTTTGGTTTCAATATATATTTGGGGTGATGAAATAAATACATTACTGTAATAAAGTATGCATGGGATATTGCACCACATCATTCAATGCTAATTTTAGTAAGCTTTACATATTTCATGATGTGCCCACTTTTATGCTTCTATATATTGATTTTACAGTTTGATATATCTCAGGCCTCCTGAAGAATTAATATGCTTAACTTTTAGGATTGCAATGCAGGCATTCCATCTGCAGATGCTCCCAAGAAAATAAGTGGGGTTCACAAGCGTTGTTGGAGGTACATTCCAGCTGAGACAAAGAAAACAATAGAAAACCGACCAGAATCACAACAAGTTCAAGTGGTTTAATCGTTAAATATATGTAGTTCGGCTCAGATTCTATTTGATGTTGCAGCTAAGTCCTGCCACAGACACGTACAGTTGTTGTTAATTTTATTTACTTTGCAGTTTAAAATTAAGCACATAGCTAGGTTTAGCAAATTAAGCAACGAAATTTATGTAGGCTGACCTGAGTAAGGGAAAATGTTATTTAATACTTATTTTATGCTTCTAACATTTCTAGCTCATGAAGCGTCTTGCATTGCTTATTCGTGTTGTACTTACAAGATCGATTACAAATTTAATATATTTTGGTTCATTTACTCGATCTAGATTTCTATAAGCCTTAATTTTAACAAGTCATTCATGGTTCAGCACTGTGTTAGTCCAGTTTGAATGTCTGGCCCTTTAAAGTGAAGTGATTCTGAGAATTATTGGTTTGAGAAAATGGTGGGTTCGGGGGTTGAGATATTGTAGTGATTAATTCTGAGAATTATTCAAGAAATTAAAACGCTCCCTGGCCCTGAATGGTCAAGCTTCATTGAAGCATTGTTTGATTATTGAGTCAAGGCGGCAGAACAAGAAGCATGTTGGTAGTGTAGCCTCAAAAGCTATAAATTAAGGAGAATTTTAGTGATGAGTTCATCAGATCTAGCTTCTTAACAATCCTAAATTGAAAAGTTTGGGTAATTAATGTATGACTATATATTCTAAATGGGTCTACCATTTTCTAGCTTACTGATCCTGATCAGGTCATGGATTCATAATTTGCACAATTTATATTCCTAGCTAAGAGAATCGATATCCATCAGCACCAATATATTAATTGGTTTCATGGTAATGACAGCTGCCTCTTAACACCAGATAGCTGGATCTATAATCTTAAATATAACCATGCATGGTCTAAATACAACTGAAACTCAAAATTGGGTTAACCCGATTCCCTAAGCTCAAAATAATCCTGGCCATTAATAATGTTTATTCTCATTAATTACCTACTTTAATGCATTTCTGATGGTATATATATGAGTCACCAGTCGTAGAATTGAAAATAGTTTGGCTGTCTACGTTCAAGGTTCAACAACCTGTGCTGTGCTGTGCTGTCCAGCGGCTCTCTACTAGGCTCTAGCTATACGAATTCCATGCAACGGTAACAGTGCTAAGTCATCATGGCCGTATGAATTAACTATATAATTAACGTGTTGGCTGCATGGAGAGCCTGTGGACAGCACAGGCTGTGTCCACAAAACTAAAGTATTAATTCTCCCAGTACCAGTAGTGAACTTGTGATGAAATAAAATGCAAAAGCAAAGCACATACATAAATGAAATTAAAGTTACAGGGGATTCACAAACAATTTTGCCAGGTGGCCGGGGTTCCAATCATCATATCTATCACTTGCCCGTCAGTGAATTGGCCAAGTCATCTACCTCTCCTCCCCCAATTTACAGAACCAATTAAACTAAATGACCAAATATTAATCAAATCGACCAAATAAATTCATGATCACAAACTTCATTATTGCTTGCAATCGCCCTTCTTTTTTAAACTCTAATTAAGAAACTTGGGAAACAAGGATAACAAAACTGAGCACAATAAGTAGAGAAAACCAACCTATGAGTTCAAATTTGTGTGCTAATGTAGCTGTTACATCCACCTAGATTTATAAGGAAACCTTTGTACATTTCAATATTATTTCTCTTATCCATTAAATAAAACTTGTCAATATGATTGCAACATTCTTCAGCTATTACTTGGTGATAATTAGGAGGGACAACAGAAACAAGCAGATTAGACAGACCTGACCAAGAGTTATGGGCAGAAGCCTCCCTACAGGAGGGCCAGGACGGCTCCCACCTAGAGTACGAGATGAGAATGCACTGCTGTAGATTAACTTCCATCTCCCTTGGAGATTATCAAGATTATTGGTTGATAGGTCAACAAGCCCTCCTACAGCTTCAAGCTCCTTGGCGGCATCATCTGCTTTTGTAAGATCTTCTTCATTTGCAGCAAGACCTCTGTTCAGCCCAGAAACAGCATTCTGCATTTCATCACCTCATATGCATTGAACTAAGAAGCTTAAGATACTTCAAATGCAAAATATCCATTGAAAAAACATTTGTTTATATACTTGTATATAATGCCCAACATAAATATCTGGTGAATTAATAGAGATAACTTATTTCACAGATGAAGATGAGTTGGGAACTCAAATCAACCTAGCTCTACTGTTCCATGGAATACTTTTAAGTTGTTAGCTCCAATTTCTTCATAAGATTTGTGCTGAATAAATGGTAGTGGTATGATAACCCAGACTTCTCAGGTCCCACAACAACAATGATAATATCAGAAAGGACTAGGCAGCTGGTGCATTACCTGTTTTCACTTTCACAAAGTGTTTGGACTTACTAAGAGAACACTTCAAAGACAACCCAACTCCCATTTTTATCTTCAATAGTTCCATTTACTAGAAGAACAAATTACAGAATAAGCACTTCACAATAAGCAACTAAAATATTAGTTCAGCTTGACTTGCCTAATGGATATCTTGGATGTAAATTGTAAAATAACAAAGTTACTTGCAAATGAGAATTAGTAAATACATGCTCAGTCATAAGGTTGATAGAATTTTGAAAATTTTCTTAACAATGTGGAAATTATTTACCAAACAATGATTATATTTTGAATGAATGGTTTGGGAACTGAACCATCAAATTTTCCATGCATTTTGAACCAACAAATATTCAAGACAAAACATATACGGAAGGTACATGTTCCACAAAATTACATTGATAATCAGAATACACTACAAGAAAAATGGTCAAAGCCGGCGGTCTTTCAAACCGCCGCTATCTGAGGTCCCCTGCATTCATTTTAAAACTTGCCACGGTCGTCTGTTCGCAAGATTTTATAATAAATCAAAATCAAACCGGTATTAAACTGGTTTAATCTTGAGAGACGCGGTTACGCGGGGAGGGAAAAATCTTTTCTYCCAATCTCCCGCGCGAAGACGAAGGCTATCGACAAGAACTCGGCAGCCAATTTCTCATTTGGAAGAAGACTTGGAGATTATTGGAGACAAAAATCTGCTCTCCTGCGCGAATACAAAGTTCTGTCGACAAGAAATTTCTCTTTTGGAAGAAGACAAACTTGGGGAGTACTGCAAAGGATTGCAGAGAAAATTCTTTTCTCCCGCGCGAAAAGAGTTTTTCACGAGAAGACAAACTTGAAGAAGACAAGGTTCTGTCGACAAACTTGCATAGTTCTTCACGAGAAGGTTCCGTCGACAAGGTTCTTCACAAGAAAGAAAAATGGTTAGGGTTCGTGCAAGGTAGCTAGCACAGCTTTTGTTCTTCTAAGAGAGGACGAGAAAGAAAATTTTCATAGTTAGGGTTCGTGCAAGGTAGCTAGCAGGGATTTTATTCTTCGAAGAAAGGAAAATCCCTTTGTGTTTGAGGAGGAAATTTCAAGCAAGCACCACTGATCTTTGTTCGTTCGAGCAAGAGAGGAGAAGGTAACATGCCTTCTGTCGTTCTCTCCATTTTCCCTCCTTTTATCTTTTTTTTTTCTCATTCATTGGTAGTTAGTGAGTCCTGAATGCTATTAGATTTCCCCTTTGATCATTTCATTACATTAGTATGATTATGTTTGTTCACAAGATATGCTATGCTTTCTTAGTTGATGTCTAGCATAAGAACTAACGTGGTGAGATTGATTTGTTGGACTGATTTAACTAAAATTAAAAAAAAAATAATATCATGAAAATAAATAAAAAAAGAGAAATGAAAAGAAAAGTAGAGAATGATGAAAAATACTTAGCAAAATAAAGATGATCTTTCCATTTGAGAAAATAATGGTACAGTATACAATACAAGTATGTGGGCTATATGACTAGTTAAGCTTTGATACTAGCTAGGTATGGACAATGTGCTTTGATACTAGTTAAGCTTACCTTCTCCGATAAGAATAGTACAGTATACAATCCAGAAAGCTAGCTAGCTGGTTAACACTTGGAGTGCGTAGTAGGTGAAATTTTAAGTTACAGAAGATGCAAGAGTCACAATAACAGAACCAGCTAGTGCTCCTGCAATTAATCATAGAGGTAAAAAGGCTGCAGCAAGTGTTGCACAACGAAAAAATAAATAAATTAATCTAGAATAAGAGAAGAAATACTTGAATCAAGAATTAAAGGAGTAATACATCCTACATACACAGTTATAAATGGCAACATGGAACACATATACAGGGGATTTTTCCAGAGCATTATTTTGCCCATCTTGAGATCATTTTGACCAAAAGAGCAATACGGGGTTTAAGGACCATTACCTAATGTTGGTCCCAGATATCTAGAGTCTTGGGAGGGGTAGACTTGATATGGACCTTACCCACAACAATTTTCACACAAAGTGGCTTCTTTAAGAGCCTAAGGCCTAAGCTATGTTCTCATGCTCGTGAACCAGGGATTTTCCCACTTACCCTTAAAAAAAAAGGTGATACAAGGTTTGATGATTAAAAATAAAAATGCCGTTCAGCCTTCTAATGGACAACCAAGAAATCATGGTGGATCCTCCAGTAAGGAAATTTGATTGGGTGGTCATTGTCATCCAAACAGGTCTGATGATTAAAAAATAAAAATGTCATCCTACCACTATCAAATGGTTAGGAGAAAAGAGGGAGGTCCCTCGAGATTACCTAGCTGAAGCTAGAGACATTTTATCTTCTATGAATGCAAACCTGTGTTGGATTCCTAGGGAACTTAATTCTCTTGTTGACGGTCTAGCTAAATCTGGTGCTCATTTGGATTGCTTGTATAGTGAGAGTTCTCTGTCTGTATTGTTCTATGAGGCTTTTATTTTTTTCATTTCTCAGCTGAACATTATCTCATGTACTTCCTTTTTTCTGAATGAAATATAAGTCATCCTTTCTCTCAAAAAATTGTCATCCAAATGGGTTAATTTTGGACCTATATTCCATAGGTTTGCAACACTAACTGGTGAATCTGGCCTCTATGACATGTATGATTGTGTAGAGAAAAATAGGAAGTATAGATTTTGTCTGTCTTGTTATATGTCTTTAGGCCATAACTTCTGACCAAAATCTGTATTGAAGATTTATCTGTATGGAAGAGCTCTCAAAAACTCTGCAGGTATTTTGATCCACTGAGCTTTTGAAAGATCTATAATCTATTTAGAATGACTTGCCAAACAGCGTCTAAGTTAGTGAACAACGAGAAGCTGTAAGGCTTACCTACTGTATATAAAATTAATTTGTCACTCCATTCAGCAATAAAAACAAGTTATAAAAGTGCTAATTACAGTATTAGTAGAAACTATACCAGCACCATTTCCTGAACTGCCAGCTATGATTGGTACATAAAATACAATCCTGTCAGTAATTAAATGTGCCAACTGATATACCATGACTCTGGCTTGGAGAAGATCAACTAGTGTATGGAGGTAACACAACTAAAGGGGGTTTGAATGTGTATAAAAGACCAACTATGGACTAATGTGAATAAGTGATCTTATGCAAGTTGAAGGATCAAGAAGAGCTATGGGGAGGCTAAAACGAACACAAATTAAGGTAGTCAAAAATGATTTATGATTCACAAGTTAACTATGGATATGGCAATAAATATCTGACCCCATATACCATATAGTTGGGATAAGGCTTTGTTGAGTTGAGTATATGGCATTAAATGGAGTGGAAAGGCAAAACAGCATTTGTGCAACCAACCCCGTATAATTTGGATTAGGCTTTATTGAGTTGAGATCTTAGTTACTTATCTAATATAAAAATATTAGAATATTTTCAATGATCTTGACTTTGTGGTTTTACCACTAAAACCGGAGAGTAGGCATTTCTTGAAGTACAATTAATACTTGACCTCCTTTTATTCTGCTTTCAGACCATCACCTAAGGCAATAAAGGAGAAGGCTTGGTTATTGAGAATCATAATGCTTTTATTCAATCAAGAATAACTATTTTTGTTGAGAAAGAGGAGAGAGAATCAATAAAGGACAATACTTGGTAGGGGTAGGGAAGAAAGGAGAGGCCTGCTCATGTGGTCCTCAATGTCAATTGGGGTAGGGGAGAAAGAATAACTAATGGGCTTCCACGTGTCAGTCTTTCTATCACCATCAACATCAACACCACTTTCATCATAGATATGTGCTTGGCATCATGAAAGTTGTACATATGCACATTTATAGAAGAACAAATGAGTTCTTTATCATTCCCTATAACAAACAAAGCGGAAGTGGTTCAAAATTACCAAGAGGCAAATTGCAGCAATATCATCAATGGGCAATCAGTCTCACTGGTTGCAGCTTCTATGTCTCTTGAATTTACAGGGACAAACTTTGGCAATCCAGCAATCATTTTTGGCAATTAGTAAAAGAACCAGCACATAACATCAAAGAGAAKAAAAGTATATCATAAAATATTTATCAAGAAAGAAGTAAATATTATATGCAACATAATACCTAACTACAGATCAAATCATTATACACAAGAAGCACCAGATATCCAAAAATCCATTTTCATTGCTTTTTTTTTAACTTATAGGAGGTTGAATTATGCAGGACTTGGTTTTAATATTTTAAATGAACTATGTCATGAAAATTTGTTGCTTTACCGGTGTCAAGTTCTGATACTTGTTATGTTTAAGAAGCTTCAGTTACAATGATATCAATGGGTACACATTTCACATTCAAGCATTTGCTATTGGTTTACTGGATGCTTTAGGTACATCCATTCTGTCTATAGTAGCGTCATAACAGCCATATGCTACTTAGTTACAACTTCCGGTTTATCATTTGATAGAGGTAAACATATTATTTTTACTTGATAGTGGTAGATCATTTGGTCTCATGTATTACTATGTCTGGATTTTGTTCTAGCTGCATTGGACATGTTATTCCATGTGAAAAAGGATCTTTAGTTCAGATGTTGTCTTACATATCATAGTGCAATCTCTAGGAAACTTATCCACACAATCATCCAATGTGCTAGAAGGTTGCTTTAGCTAGTAAATGCCATAATGGCCCTTTTTATGAGCAACAGTACTTTGTAGCTTTATTAAAAGTGAGGAAAAGTCCAAACTTTACAATCTGCCATCATACAAAAACCAGAAACAGATTAAATCTCACTACTCTCATCTTCAGATTCTACTCTGATTCCCTTATAATGATCCCCTACACCAGGCTTACCCAAACATAGGTTCCCTTTGAGAGACTCCATTCCATTGTCTTTAAGGTTGATTCTGTTACTTTTTCTTGAAAATTTTCAAAATCAAAACCTGCTGCATGATTTGACCCATCAGTTGGAATGGGTACAAGGTTTATGGTGATTGATTAGTAAATTGGAGAAGAGGCATGCCCATGGAAGCTGTGACTTTCTTTTCTGCTATACAACCCATATGTCTCCATTTTCTAAATCATGGTGTCCCAACCAAAGCCTTTAATGATGAGCATGGTGCTGAATCTGGGTTCTATCAGCTGCAGAGAGATTTTCTGTGGAAGGGTTGGGAAGAGGAAAAAATAAAGGTCCATTTAGTAAGTTGGGATCAAATTTGCTCCCCTGTGGATCAAGGGGGTTTGCGGGTTTGGAGACTTAAGTTTTTTAGCATGGCTTTGCTTGGCAAGTGGCTTTGGAGGTTTGGGGTTGACAGAGATGGTTGGTGGAGAGGCCTAATTGCTGCTAAGTATGGTGTGGATAGAGGAAATTGGATAACCACTTCCTCTCCTTCCTCCCTGGGCTGTTCACTTTGGAAGAAAATTATGGAGCTGCTTCCCAATTTTAGCAGATGTCTCAAGCCAATTTTGGGAAATGGTGGCAGACTGGTTTTCTGGAATGACCCCTGGTGTACTGACTGTCCTCTTGCTGAGGTTGTTCCTCAGCTATTCCAGCCGGCAGTTGATCAGGATGCATTGGCGGCTGACTGTTATGAGCTCACGGGGAGTGTGGTCTGGAATCCTACCTTTTGGAGAAGCTTTAAGGACTGACAGTTTGAAAACTTTGCTAATTTACTCCTGCTGTTGGGTCAGGAGGTGAACACCAGCTTGGAGGATGGTTGGACCTGGATCTGGTCTACAGATGGCCTCTTTAGTGTTAAATATTTTGCTTACAAGTTGATGGTTTGCAGTTTTGGTCCAGTTCCTGCTTCCAGGATTTGGAACCCTCTCCCCCTCGAAAGTTAATGATCTAGTGTGGATAGCAATAGCATCTCTAAATAGGTGTCTCACCAAGGCAAACCTGATCAGAAGGGGAACAAGGTTAACCATGATTGTTGCACAATGATAATTAAATATCCTATAATGATACTTTTCCTGGATTTTTGCATTACACTCATGTTTCAAATTTATCAATGAGCTGTTAGGGATATGTGCTAAATGAGAAAAATTCTAGAAATACAGGTTATGGACTTCCCAACAAGATGAGCTAAACCATTCYATTAGGCCACTTCAAAATATTGTGCTTTCTTTAAGCCTTTATTTTCAAAGCTTGCAAAGTCCATTTAGGTCCCATTTTCCAAACTTAAGAAAATAGAAAAATAAATGATAAATCATTGTACTAAAGCTATTTCAAGTAATTTTAAATATAATAGTGATAAAGTAAGATGACCAAGAGTAAGATGACCATACAGCTTCCTATTTATGGTGAATAGACTGTTTGTGGGACCAAGAGTAAGATGACCATACAGCTTGTGAGCCACATTAATGCCGGTTGATCCAATTTTTGGTGTGCATTGTGATTCCTGTTGAAGAAACCTCTTAGTTGGTGCCATGTTAATATACTCATATGGAGAAATATGGAGTGCCCTGTGACTCCTAAATACTCTGTTTTAGGCATTCTTCCCAAATACCCTGTTTCTGCAGTCCTAAATAACCTACATTAGTGAAATACAAAGTATCCATAAAAATGAAAAACTCTTTCTAGTATCCAAATACCATGTTTTTCAGACCATGCTCCTCTTTTTATACCAAAATGACCCACAAAACAACCTAGGCCTAGCTAGCATTCAAAAATGAAAAATGTTCACATATTCATGAATCCAAGCCATATATTTGCTTGATTAGTCCCCACTTGTGACTGGTATTTTGACAAAAATCACATCAATCAGATGATCCTAAGACCCTTTCTTTTTTCTGATGGACCCAAATTAATGAGGTAGCTAGGCAGTTGTATCAGACAGGTAAGGACTGATAGCTAGGATCGGCTATCCATCATGGTCTTAAGTTGCTCCCCATGCAGGGATTGATAGATAGGGCTTCAGTTTTTTCATAGTTATCCCACTTTGGGAGAGGGCTCAGCCTTAACTTAGCTTGTAAGATCCCGTTTTGGGGATGCTTCAGTTGCAGTGATTTAGCTTGTGGTAGTTGAGCACCCATGTTCCGGAGTGGTTATCTGGAATATCTTCCTATTTCAGCTGCATTTCTGGTGCCTGAAACCCAAATTCTAATTTTTTAGAAAGAAAATTAGAAATGCGCATTTGCTTCGATTGGTAAAATGTAAGCCGATAATGAGATCAAGTTAGCTAGCATTTTAACAATTTTTAATGAGGTTATAAACAATTGCCAGTGCAACTGAATGCATCTTCCAAATTCCTCTAGCACTTGGGTGTGTAATTAGGCCTACAACAAGTACATCTCCATACCAGAATTTAAGGGAAACCATTAAGTATTTTATGATTAATTAGTTAGTGGATTTACAATGTCACACAATCATTCCCATAGCTAGGTATCTAGAATCCTACAAGCTTTTAACCATTGAAAATTTTCAGTCTATATACTCTAGAAGAAAAAGAGAGAAGGCGTGATAATCCCAAGATTTTCTATATGCTTGTCTTGTTTGAGAAGACAAGCTGGCCTGTAGCACCTCCTTTATGGCTATGGCGCTAAGCTAGGGTTTAAGCTGAGAGATGAGGGCCCCTCTAAAACTAGGATTAGGGTCTCATGAAGGCTGAAAGATATTGAAGGTTTTATAAATTATAACGAACCTTCTAGGGATCCTGAAAAGTGATAGGGCATATTTAGGGAACTTTAAATTTTCTAATGAGGAATTCAATGATCAGGCATTAATTTCTTAGATGATAAAAAATGACACAACCCTGAACCCTTTGACATTTGTGTTCTATAGGCTGTTGTATTTCTTTTTCTGTTTTTTTTTTTCCTTTTTCTTTGTAGAATGGAGCCAGAAATTGCAGTATTTCATGGTTTATGGAGAGAGGAGAAGATGTGCAAACAACATTTGATATTCAGTCCTCTGTCTCTACTTTGCATGTATCTTTATGGTTTACACATCTCATAGTCTTTTTTTTTTTTTTAAATTTAGTGGTGTTTCTTAGTCCACCATTGCCATCACCATCAACAACACCCTGTTTCACATAACTGGGATCAGCAGAAAAACTTCTTGTTCCCCCACTCCGCTTTATCCCCAAAGAAGAGGATATAAATATTTTTTAGCAATGCTCCTTTTAATTCTGTCATTTAAATATTCTTTTCTTCCCCAGAGTCTAACATCACTTTTTTGCAGGCTTTGAGGAGACACTTTTGATCTCAGAATTGTTAGACCAAGCAGAACCAGAATCAACTTCCTGATCAACTTCCTGAGCAGCTATACCAATATGTTATTATCAAGTGAATACAGATCAACTTCCTCTGTGCATAGAAAATATTCCCCATGTGATCCCATACCATGTGAATACAGAGTAGTTTCTTGCTGATTTCCCCCCAAAAAATGTCGGTTAAGTTGTATTCCATTTTCAAGACCTGAAAATGGAAGTTAAAGATCTGGAGAGGATGGTTATAGCTAAACCTGTTGCTTCAAGACCTTCTTGTTCCAGTTTCAGGTCCTTCTCAGAGCTTCTTGCAGGTGCATTTAATGCCTCACCCCCTGGTGCATATACTGAAACAGTAGTTGCTGCCATTAGACCCAAGACAGTGAGATTCAAGCCAGTGGCAAATCATGATCTGGATGGGATGACTTCATCCCAGGTGGGCATTTTAGTTTATGGGCTTTGTTTTTGGATGTTGTTTCGTATCAAGAACAGCTTTGTTATGTTATTCTTTTACCTTTGTCCCATGATAGGGTGAGATATCGGGAACAGCAGCTTATTCATCTGAAAAGGTCTCAAGACCAGACTGCAAATCTACTGTAGTATACAAACCCTTGGCAAAATTTGTTTCAAGGAGAACTGCCTCTCTGTTGGCAAATTTGGTCAGTATGCTATTTATTAGGCACTTGATTTTCCTATAGAGTTGGTTTGAATCAGTCCTTCACTTGAGATTTGTTTTAAGTTTATTTTATTTATAAAAATACTCCTGCAACAATACTATTCAGTAATATATTAACTACTCATTCTTTGAACCCTCCCTCCTACCATCATAAAGCAAAAAATGGAAATTCCTCTCCCCTGTTGCCTTTAACAAATGATTTTTTTTCTTGGCAGGGAAATTTTGGTATTAGTCACCAACAAACCCTATTTCAACATGGAGACAAAACCAAGCAGCCTTCACAAAACCATCTTACCTCAAATCCTAATGGGAAATTGCCATCAGAGTTGGAAAAACAGATAATTGAGCCCTCAAAGATGGCTACATAGATATTGGAAGAGAGTCAGAGGGCTGTACCTGCAACAACCAGTGGGGTATGATGGGTATAATTGGAGAAAGTATGGGCAAAAGCAAGTGAAAGGTAGCGAGTACCCAAGAAGTTATTACAAGTGTACACACCCAAATTGCCCTGTGAAGAAGAAGGTTGAGAGATCATTTGATGGACAGATTGCAGAAATTGTATACAAGGGTGAACATAATCATCCAAAGCCTCAACCTCCTAAAGGCCACTCATCAGGGGCACAAGGGAAAGAGTTTGTTTCTGATGGGATTGGCCAAGATACCAGCTATCATTGGATATTGTATTTTTTTTTAAATGCCTTGTACTTTTTTATGTTAATTGGATATTGTATTCAAGCATTCTGTTTTGGATATTATAATAATTAATAATTTTTATTTTCAATTTGTAATTTTTTATTTAAATTGATTTTTATGCATTATCGGCCATGAGATTTGTATTAAACAGGTACAAACAAAATGTTGAAATCAAATTGATATAAATAATATAAAATTAAAAAAAAAAACAAAGTCGGCGGTCATGCAACCGCCGCCTTAGACATAAAAGCGATCTAAGCCAGCGGTCCAGACCACCACCTAAAAGCGGAAGTAAACTTTTGACGGACCTAAGCCAACGGTCCAAAGATATCTAAGCCGGCAGTCCAGACCGCCACCTAAAAGCGAAAGTAACCTTTTCGACGGACCTAAGGCGGAGGTCCAAAGATATCTAAGCCAGCGGTCCAGACCACCACCTAAAAACGGAAATAACCTTTTGACAGATCTAAGCCGGCGGTCCAGACCGCCGCCTTTATTGAATCTGAGCGGCGGTTCTGACATACCACCAGTTTAGGAATGATTGAACCATGTCGGACCAGTCCCCAAAGGCAGTGGTCTTGACCTAGGCCGGCAGAGTTTTAGGGGGCGAACGCATGACCGTTACCTTACATCTAAGGCGGCGGTCTTTAGGTCAAAGCCGGCGGTTAGTTTTTCTTGTAGTGATAGTTTCAAAGACTGCTTCCAGAAATGCTTTATCAAATTCCTACAAATATTCTCTGTTTTCACAGGAAGGTCTTGGACAATTCTTCTAATTGATCAAAATATCAGTCACACCTACATCAAGACACATGCAGCACAATCCTGAAACTAGGCCTAAATCATCATGCATCTTAAGTACATGCAAACTGCATATGGATTAAAACTTTAAGGAATGTTGGGATATAAGTATATACATACCTTGTGCAGACAAGCAAAGACAGATGAGTTGTGTTATGAATCTCCTCCAATTAGACATTAGTCATAAGACCATCGATAGACCTTCAAGCATCATTGAGTTGTAAGTATCATACAGAACAACACCCATTGGAATAGTATGATATCCAAAAGCATCCACAAAAATATAGAAACTACCCTTAGATATATCTTCAGTATCTTATTAGTATTGGTATACAAATTCCTAAATCCATATTTTTGATATCTACATTCTAATTCTTCACATAGTTCCATATTCAAAAATTTTCATGATCCAAAAAAAAGAAAGGGAAAATAGTTTGGTACAAACACTGAGAGATAATTGCGCCTCACTCTCTCCTAAAGATGAAATTAGTACAACTTCCATTTGATTCTAGTTGGAACATTTCACAAGGAAAACATTAGGCACTGTATAATCTCATTCAATTGTCATTACTTGATTATAGTTTAGTAATGTCTCTTCTTATTTATCCACCTCTACATAAGGAATGCTAATTGCACAGGTTGTAAAACTTGTTCCATATTTTTGATATCTACATTCTAATTCTTCACATAGTTTCAGATTAAAAATTTTTCATGATCCAAAAAAAAAAAGAAAATAGTTTGGTACAAACACAGAGAGATAATTGTGCCCCACTCTCTCCTAATGAAGAAATTAGTACAACTTCCTCTGCCTCTACATAAGGAATGCTAATTGCACAGGCTGTAAAACTTGTTCTCACACAACTGGCTCCTCTATATTTATATTGTTGAGGCAAAGTAGTATGGCATGTCTTCAGCATTTTATTTTTGATGTTTCATGCTTTTGTGCTCTCAAGTCTTAAGACTCTTATCAACCACATTTTTCCATGTCTTTGGTTTGTGTTGTGTTGCTTTCCTTTGTCGCAACCTATCTAATAACCTATAATATTTGTGAAAAAGTTGATATTTCCAGAGAGTAAGATTCCAATTTTATAGCAATTACCAGGGTATATACATAATACACTAAATACTTAAATATTGATAATTGAACAAACTGGAGCATACAAAATAGCAGTACTGGGATTCACCAACATGACATTGAATTCCTACCCACGAGACATGACAATTGCGCATTGGGAATATTTCCCTCGTCATTCATCTCCCCAATACATGGTGGTGATGCTCTATGGGTATGAATGTGGGTACAGCTTGGGTAGCAGATCCCGAGTCTTCACGAGCGTCAACAACACATTACCCAGCAAGTCCGCTGACCAAGGGAGTACTAGAATCAACAAACCAGAAAAATATAAAACATACTCATATTTGAATTATCAAGAAGCAAGCCATTTTCATAAAATAAGCATAATAAATACGAAAAAAAATAGGAAAGACAATTCACTTATCCAACCATCAGAAATTTGACCATGAGCCGACCAACAGAAATTCAATAAAAACCCGCTTAGGGACTTGCAGTGATTTCCAAATTGGATCAACTTGAAGTATTAGAAAGACAAAAGGAGAATACATCAGAGAAGAGAATTACGTGCAAGAAAATTAAAGAGAAGTAAATTAACGCAATAACAATACAGAATAATACATCAGAGAGAAAATTTCCAAAACACAAGTATATTAATTTGAACTGTACATATTCAACTACCCAGTAAGTACTACATGGTTGCACCAACACACTGAACAAAAGTAGAGTTCCGGGGACAAAGAGGATAGATGACGGTGACATACTAAGCCCTGCTGAATTGGATGAATGCGGCTGCGGACTCTATTGGCCTTAGCTTACAACTGCAATCTCCTGTTCAAGGCATGACACTCCAGCCCAGCAATAACTCCCATCGCCTCCGACCAGTCGACCTTGCCAAAACACTTGCATAACTTCTCAAAAATCTGCCATGTGAGGAGGCTATCAGACCCAGAACAGTGAGTCTGCCCCACTGATCGAACCACGCCAAGCGTCTTCGCAACTCGTTCCAGCCCTCCATACAACCCATGACACTTCATCATGTGTTTCACATCAAAAACTGCCCCGAATACATGATTCATCACATCAAGAAAATCATTTATCGTCTCCGGCAGTGGTCTCCCATGGCTCAATATCTTTATCAGGTAAGCAAAATCGTAGCCTCCTTGGAAACATATCCATCTCGGTCGCACTAGATAGCGAATACCTGATGCAATGTCGTAGTATGAACGGTGTAGAAGACGAGTCCCAGAAGCCAAGTCGTAATGAACTAGCCCAGACTCGCACATCCGTTGTGCAAACAGCGCTGAATCAATGCCGTGCTCCCTGGTCTTCTCCAAATCGATTCCATGGCTCCTGAGGAGTTGTATGGCTTCTGGCGCTTGTAAGTCGGTGGAGACATCGAAATCTCTAAAATTGAACTCCCAGACCACGTAATGATCGTCAAACTTGGGGAGTCTGCCATAGTTGTCGGTGAGAGTGATGCCCAGCTGAATGAGATTCATACAATCAACATTTGCTTTGAGAGACTGGTAGTACTTCTCGGAATATTGCAGGGAAGGAAAGGAGGGGGGCCTGGATGGATATATAGCGCCCGGAAACTCTGTATCAATGGTGACGTTCGAAAAATATGATAGCATCTGAGTTAGAAGATGAAATTCAGCATCAAAATTCGTCGCCCAAACATGGTGAATTTGTACGCTGCCGGACGACATTTTGCTCTCGTCTCTCGCTTCTCGGTGTGCCGATCGATTATTGGTTGCTCTAGCTTCTCTTCTCTGCTCGCTRATGAGTGTTGCTCTCGCTTCTCTGCTCTGCTGATCGTTTTACGTTCAGACTTTTATAATGTTCATAAATACGTATTTAGAAACTTTCGAGTGAGTTGGAAACTTTCGAATTGGAAAGTTTCCAAAAAAAAGTTGTGTTCCAATCCACTTTTGGTATGTTTGTTTAGTCTGAATTGGAAACTGTGGAATGGATGACTCAGCCACGCCTCTGTTTTGGAAACTTTGGAAACCTTGGAAATTTGCTCCAATCCATTTTTCACGCGGTCAATGATTCAGCCACTCCTCTGTTTTGACGTGGCTTGAACATCCACCGTGAAAAAGTGGATGGAGCGAAATAAAGCTCGAAGTTACTGCAACTTGGGCTAGCGGGCCCAACCCGAAATCGGACCAATCTATCTCGCAATTTTATACGTGTTGGGCCTAAAAGAAAGGATTTTTTTTTTTTTGACTGGTCTCGGACCAAACCCTTAGGTAGTCTAAGCCCAGGCCGGTCTCATCCTAACCCTAAGCCCGGTCTGATTATATGCATGCATGCACATATATTTGCATGCATATAATATATGTAATATATCCACACATATATTGATAACAACTTTTAGGGCCCGTTTGGTTTGTGATCGGAATCGGAATCGGAATGGCCTATTTCGCTTGGTTGTTTGATTCACACCGGAATTGGAATTGGATTCTGATTTATGTTGTCTGGTTCGTTAAGAGGCTGGAAGCGGAATCAGCCATGATTTCCAATTTTTCCCCTAATAAAAATAAAAAAGCAGAAAATGCATGAAAATACAAAAAATGCAGAAATTACAATAATTTTGTAGAAAATGCATGATAATACTCAAATTTTGCAGAAATTAAGAAAAAAATGTAGAAATTTTGCAGAAAAAATGCAGAAATTACAACAATTTTGCAGAAAGTTCAGAAAATGCATGAAAATACTAGAAACTTTGTAGAAATTGCAGAAATTTTTTAGAAAAATCAGAAAAWTTTGTAGGAAAATGCAGAAATTACAAAAAGTTTATAGAAAATTCAAAAAAAAAGCATGAAAATATTAGGAATTTTACAAAAATTATAAAAATTGTAGGAAAATGAAGAAATTATAACAATTTTGCAGAAATTTATGAAAAATGTTTGTGGTTTTCAATTTTTGCCACAGACATCATCACTCTGTCAATATATAGAAAATTCATCAGCTATATAAATTAAAAAAAAAACAATTAAAGAATTAAGAATATACAGGAAACTATAGCAATGGTGGTTTTCAACTATTGCCTGAACTTGGTCAGTTCCCGACACCATCATCAGTTTGTTCAAATCTGTTCCTGGCACCATTGTCGATTCCCGGCACCATCGTAGCAATGGCATAGTTGTTTAGTCTCAAGGTAGAAAATAATGAAAAGTGTCTTCTTTTAAGGGTAGCTTTGACATTTTAAAAGTTCAAGGGATCTATTAGACACATTTTGAAAGTTCAAGTACTACATAAATACGTTTTGAAGTTTGGGGACTGACTTGATACAACCCCTAAAGTACAGGGTACTGATTAGGAACTTTCCCTTAAAATTCTCGATTAGTACCCTATACTTTGGGTCTAATTCCACTTTGATCCCCGAACCTTAAAACGCGACAATTCAATACCCAAACACTACAGGAAAATGGGGCTATAGCTATGACACTTTAGCTACGATGAAAAAAACCATAGCTAAAACATGGGATATAACCTTAGACAATTTGATGTTTGTGGCAAAAAGTTGAGCTTTAGCTATGGACAATTTGTTCGTAGTTAAAAGTTATTCTGTCCACGGCTAAAAGATATTTATAGCCACGGTTATAATGTATCCGTGGCTATAAGTCACAAAAGCAGAAGTTGAGCTTTAGCTACGAATAATTTGTCTGTGGCAAAAAGTTGAGCTTTAGCTACAGATAATTTGTCCGTGGTTAAAAGTTATTCTATCCATGGCTAAAAGATATTTATAGTCACGGTTGTAATGTATCCGTAGCTATAAGTTACAAAAGCAGAAGTTGAGCTTTAATTATGGACACTTTGTCCATGGTTAAAAGTTCTTTTGTCAGTGGCAAAAACATATTTAAAGCCACAATTATAATGTATCTGTGGCTATAATTTACAAAAGCAGAAGTTGAGCTTTAGCTACAAACAATTTTTTTGTGGTTAAAGAGCTATTTATCACTATATCCACAGATAACTATAATTCCGTGGATATCATTAACCAACCGTTAAGTGGCATTTGAAAAGAAACAAATGCCCTTTAAGTGTCATCTAATTTTCTTTATCAACCATCCAAACATTGACAAAAAGTGAACAATCTCAAATCCTTCCCTCTATTCAATAAAGTTGGGGTCACATCTTAGTAGACATTCTAGTGACCTCAACTTTATTGAATAAAAGATGTAAGGATATGAGATTATTCATTTTTTGTCAATGTTTGGATGGTTGATAAAGAGAATTAAATGATACTTGAAGGGCATTTAATTCTTTTCAAATGCCACTTAGCGGCTGGTTAACGATAAATACTAAATTGACATGTTTTGAAAGTTCAAATACTGAATTTTCACATTTTAAAGCCACTAGACCCAAAGTACAAAATACTAACCAAGGATTTTCCCTTTTTTATAATAGAATGAAAAGACTGAAGGATTCCCAAAAAGTTCCAAAGAGACCAAAATCGCCAAACGGTCTTGATATTTAAAGACTTGGACCCCAAAAGCTTAATGTCTTTTGACCAACTATCAAAGATCTTTTTAAACCCCTTTGGTTTAAAAAGACTTCTCCTCTGTTCCATGTTCTATTTGGTTTCTTATTCTCATTTCATTCTCTTCTCCTCTATCATCTCCAACCACTGGCATCAACTTCAAATGATCAATCCTCTGTCGATAACCAAGTAATGTCTCTTCATCTATGTTGTTTTTTCAATCATTAAAGTTGTCTTTTTAAAAAATAAGTGCTTATTGGAGAAAAAAACCACTAAACACTCAATATGAAATAAGTGCTCATTTTTTAAAATAAGCACTTGAAAAGGTTGGGTGTCAAATGCAAATAAATGCTTATTTGAATAAGCACTTGTTTTTAAGCATTTATTTTAACATAAGCACTCCCAAACTTTGTTTGGCACGCTAGTTCATTCAGAATCGAAGTAGTGATAACGATACTTGGGTGGGTGAACCTATGTCTCATGTAGGGACAACCCTGTTGGCAATCGAACATGGACAACCAAAGTTTTCTAATAGGTAGGGTCCATGTAGGCAAAGCCTCGGCTCCTAATGGTCAGAGGACATATGTCCAATTAGAGAGGGTTTAAAATAAGGGAGTTGAGCCGAATACTTAGCTATTCAAGATCAGCTCGCAGAAATAGTGGTACGCTTGCACTCAATTCAAGCTAGAGACTTGAGCTCAAGCTCTGCTCGGTTCAAAAGCTCGCAAGTTCAAGCTCGACTCGACTCGAGCTCAACTGCAAGCCAATCTTTTTCTAAAAAATAAAAATAATTTTTTATTTTACACACAAAAAATTATTTATTATTATACATATAAAAAAATAAGAATTATAAAAATTATTTACTATTATATATAAAAATAAAAATATTATTATATATAATAAAAATTATTTATTATTTTAGGCTTGATTAGGATTGTAGGCCTCACGAGCCGAGCTTTATTGGACTCGAGCTTGGCTCGAAGCTCAGTTTAAATCGAGCCAAGCCAAACTTTTCACAAGCCGAGCTTGGATAGCTTGTGAGAAGCTTGAGTAATTGCCACCCCTATTTTCAAACTTAAGGTTTAGATGTGAAAATGAATAGGTTGTCACTGGTCATATGAAACTTCTAACCCAAGGTGAGGGGGGTTAATTTGTCAAATATATTCTAGTATAATACCTTTCTTTTTGCATGTATGATGGAAAATTTAAAGAATCCAAATCTATTATCGCCTATTTGCTTCACCGTCATTAAATAGTTTTTGTGAAGTACTTCAAAACATTTGAACTAAATTAACCCGGTTTTCAGCTCAACCTTACCAAACAGGCTCTAAAAGGGGAATAAGAGTTGGGGACAAAGCAAAGCATATGGGAGACACATTAAGCCAATGTTCAAAGTATCATAAGCGCCAAGTGTATCGGAAAGGCAATTTTAAGAGACGTATCGGGATACGCCTTGGATACGCATGCATATCGGAGAAAAACTAAGATACGTATAGATACGCTTAGAAACACTATAAATACTTTAATAAATCATAAAAATACATCAACAACACTAAATATAAGACCTCAATGATGTGTATATACATTAAATTAATATATTTTAATGGTTTATGAAGAAATATATTGTAGTTAATTATAATTTCATTAAAAATCCTATGCTTAACTATAATTTAAAATTATAATTCTTAAGTTTTAATGTTTTATGGGATGGGAAAAGCCCAACTCTCCTATCCAATCAAAAAATATGCATTGGCACAACTTCTATGTGAAAATATAATTAATAATTATTTATTATTTAAATAATTATTATTTATTATTCATTTCCAAAAATTATAAAAATTGTAGGAAAATGAAGAAATTATAACAATTTTGCAGAAATTTATGAAAAATGTTTGTGGTTTTCAATTTTTGCCACAGACATCATCACTCTGTCAATATATAGAAAATTCATCAGCTATATAAATTAAAAAAAAAACAATTAAAGAATTAAGAATATACAGGAAACTATAGCAATGGTGGTTTTCAACTATTGCCTGAACTTGGTCAGTTCCCGACACCATCATCAGTTTGTTCAAATCTGTTCCTGGCACCATTGTCGATTCCCGGCACCATCGTAGCAATGGCATAGTTGTTTAGTCTCAAGGTAGAAAATAATGAAAAGTGTCTTCTTTTAAGGGTAGCTTTGACATTTTAAAAGTTCAAGGGATCTATTAGACACAT